CGTAATAAATACATAAGGATTTTAATTTTTTACTCTTTTAATGCACCGAATATGGTTTTGAAAAAAAAACACACATCATTATAATTTAGCTCTCTCACTCAACCCAAAATCTAAGGGTAAGTTCCTTCGTAAATATACAATAATAAATTATGTATATATTGTTTTATTAATTCTTATCAACCTATGCTGCTACACAGGAAAATGTAAAAGAATTCAAGTAGCCATATTGCGCACCATTGTACTAAAATATATAAGTACCTATTCCGATTTCGTTCAAACTCACTCATTAGTATATAATGCTCATATAATATAATTTAATTGTTTAATACTTTAACATACCATTATAGCATTATACAAAATATACTTATAAATACTTGTGTCTTTTTTATTTTTTTAAAAGCTACTAGCAATAACTACAATAGCTTTAACACTCAACCTATAGGTAAATTGAAAAATTAAATTATTATAGGACAAAGTAAGAAAAGTGTAAAATTAATAATACATAAAAAAATATTATATTATTGAATGTCAATAAAATGTAATATAATATTTCATGTCAAACAAAATAATGTAAATGAAAATGTACAGTTCTAGTTGCACAGTTCTACTGTATTATAGAAGATGTAGTGGTTGCAATGGGTTGTGTTTTCTCATATCATGTAATTTGTCTTATTTTGTAAAGCCGCTAGAATAGTTTACGATATTAGTGATCCGACAGCTGACAAAATTCGTTTTCGAAAAAACAACCCTGGTAAAAAAGGATTGGCGTATGAGGACGAAAAATCTTGGATTGTGTGTATACCAACTGAAGGTAATAATGCGTTTAAATCGAAGACTTAAATTCGTTTATTTATATAGTAGATATAAATATATAACATAGTGTATACTATATAATGTTGCAATATATATATTATATATATATAAACTTGGTGAAGAAAACGGTTCTCATCAAAATCGTATTTCTTTATACCTAATATATATGTTTTATACATTAGGTACACGTCATTATACAGTATAATGTATACATAGCTATTAGGTATTTCGTATTATCGTATGTAACCTATTATGCGTGAGATGATACGATTAGAAATAAAGATGGGCATTTAAAAAGCTTTAGTTGATACGGTTTTATTGGCAACCTCGATAGCATTAAAAAATAAGGGCAAAGTAAAATGAATTAATTGCAATAATTGCATACATAGTATACACTACGCTATACAAAAAGCCATTACATATTATTAAATCATATACCTAATAATATGCATAATGAAATTAATAAAAAAAAATATTTCGTAAAAAGATTGAAGGTATCCAACCTACTTTTTGAGGAAAATAAAATGCTCTACAGTACTTTTATACGTATATATATTATATAATATTGAGCATTCTTTTAACTCGTAAATATTGAATCCTATATTCATTTTAAACGTTAGTTAGTATATTAGTTTTGGAGTCACAGTGATTTTTTTCGATGGATTTTAAATATAATATGCGGGTGGTACTTCAGTACTTGATACCTACCAATTAATACTCCTAACTATAGGCTACATTTTCAAATGATAATTTTAAAGCCGTTGTCTATACAGTCACGCCAGCGAAATATCAATCAGAAAGGTTCTGTAAATGTATATTTCCGATACAACTGTACATCATAAAATAGTCATTTAGATTTAGGTACCTATACTCCGTCATCATATTAAATGTCGACTCTGCACATCAATAAAATGTACAACACAGTCTCGTCAACTTCGCCGCGGCCTCAATCAGTCGCGTAGCCTAGATTATGAAGAGGGGGTAGGTTGAGTATAAATTAAACTAAGTTTTTTAGTGTTTTCGTATATAAATAATTTATTAATAAAATACAAATATATTGATTAGGGGAAACACCCATATACTATGGTGCATCAAAAGTTTAGCTTGTTTTTAAATTGCGTATTTAGAGATAACTATGATTTGGTAGATACTTAGTACTCATAAATGAGTATAAAATAGTATACTGTATAGTGTATACATTTGTAAAAGTGTTAAAAGGAAATTAGAATTGACCTTTTTTATAAATACTAAGTAGGTTTCACTAAGTTTTTATTAAAAAAAATAACATGAAATTTGATAGGTAGCTAGGTACACCAAACAATTAAAATTTAAGTGAAATATTTTTTAAACTTCTTTTAAATTTAAACTAAAACATATAAATATTCTAATATGCCCAAATTAAAATAATAATATACATTTTAAATGTAAAATTTAATTAAAATTTTCGAATACAAAAAAAAAATAAGGTAAGCCATATAATGTAGGAATGATCTACGTTAAAATAATTTTCATTATGAGTTCCTTAGAATTTTAAAATAAAACAAATAACTATTTAAACTCTAGTTTTTTAAAGGAAGTTTGTACACATAGGTATGATATTTTAGCTAATTTAGCTTGATGTATTTCGGTTTAAAAATGGATTAATTTACTTTATTTAATCTGTGGTTCAGTGTTCATATGAAACTTGGGTCTATGGTAATCTAAGTTAGGTAAGTGCTGATGCCTGACAGTGCAATTTGTCTGTTGGTACCCGGTACCCTTATTATGGAGAAACTAAGTTCAGTTGTAATTCACTTGTAGATTGTAGGCAAATCTGACTTGATTGAGCAATCAGTCTACATATTTTGAAAGCTAAGTGTGAGTGTCTATAGTCATCGCACATGTATGGTATTATTTTAACCTTAAATAGTTAGATCGTATATTATGGATGGAGCCATGCCCATCTAGCTCACGTACACAATTTAAAGCACACATAAGCGATGAGTCTCTGGCGGAAACGTCTCATGTGCGTTTTCGTAAGGTGATTGGCAAACCGTCGTAAATTTGGGTGTTGGTTTATATTTATAATATAAATTTTCTTAGAACATTTTAACTATCGTACATCTAAATATCTGATAACAATAAAAACAAAAAAAACATAGAACAATTTTTATAAAAGTGAAATATTCATGAAGTACCTATTACCTACAGAAAAATTTCAAAATATAACTTATCACTAATCAGTAATTGTACTCATCCCAAAACTATCCTGTACTCTGCGCCAAGAGAAGTAACTCGTTTCGCGCACGCGATTGTTACGACTTTACGAGGCCCATCTTCTCCACTATGTGCCATTCAGTTTCAGTGTAGCGTTGTGGCGGCACGACCGTTAACGGTTGTCATCGCACAACGTCGATGTGCCTAATAGGTGGGGAATGCACGGATTCGAAGGCGATTTGGTCGGGCCAATGCCACAAGGGTCCTTTCCTGGCGCGGAATAAAGCACATTATATTACCTCCATGTAATACTATGTAATAGAAAATTTATACCCTAAAGTAAGAACGAGTTACAAAAAATCAAAACTTTAGAATTAATTCCGCTTACAATGATTGTTGGTACCTACCTAAACTAAAACATTTTTAAGAAGAAAAATGTATCACCTATTAAAATATTAGGTATCATTAGTATCACTAGTTCATATTCAAAATAATAATATATTAATAAAACAATTAGTATTAAGTCTAACAGTTAACTGCTGGCAAAAATTGATATGTTCAATTTTACATTCAAGCAATAGAGGTTTTGATATAACATCAAGGGGGGGGGCTATTTTCAATTTTTTTGCCCCCAACCCCCACCATAATAGTTGCATATATAAAATAAAGAATACAATTTGTTTATGGTCCTATAATACATTACCTATATATAACTTTTATTTTTGATTTGAAAAATTGATTAAAAAATGCATAACTGAAGTAATAAATTTAAAGCAATTAAAGCATATTTTAGTTAAATTTGAATTAAAAAAAGACATGCAAATAATGCCTAGCTAGTTGTAAAAAAATGTTTGTATGTAAAAATCACAAAGTAGATTATTTAGATAAACAGCTTCAAACAATTTAACATGCAAAACCAGTTAACTAATAAGCTTATAAAAGTAATTTTATTACCTACATTAAAATTAGTAAACATAATAATAATTAATCAAAAAAAATAGAAATCAAATTATTTAAAGTAAAGAAAATTAATTAAATAAAAAAATCTATATTTCTTTTTTTGCTATTTGCAAAGCGTTCTATTAGCTTATCTTCTGAAATATCAAATTCTAGATGAATATGCAGTAATGCTAAGCCACCAAGTCTATCTTGAGACATCTTTGTCCTTAACCAAGTCTTAAGTCTGAAGCATTTAAGCGTACAAGTAAATTTTAATATTATATACTTACTTATCTTGGAATTTAAAATCAATCATAAAACAATACCTTCTTAAAGTAGAGAAACTGAAACAGCAGATGCCACTAACCTAACCGCTGTACTTCTCATTATATATTTGTACATGACCCGATGACGATAAAAAAAATTTAGTTTGTAACTAATCAAATTTCACACATCAAAAATATTACTTAATATTTGTTATATTTTGTAAATTTAAAAAAACAACCTCAGATAACAAGTTATGATATTTGATAATATAATACTAACATGAACCAATTCCGTAACTACGGCTAAAACTGTTTTTAACATCATACTCAAATCTGAGTATCCGACTACAAAAAAAAGCTTATTAATTCTAGTTGTAATTCTGTATTTTATGATAACATTAACGAATAATATATTCCATTGTTATCAATCCAAAATCATGCTGATGCAAAAAAAAAAAAAATAAAAAAAAAATTTGAAAATAGGTATTGTATTGTGAAAATAATATTACAGAACATAACAGTTGACACAAAAAAATCCAAGGGGGGCGAGTGCCCCCTTCATCCCCCCCCTAAAAACCACCACTAGAGAGGAGCGATAAATTTATTTTAAATCATTGTTACTAAATTTGGTATTATACTTGAACCAATCAGTTAATTTATTTGCTTACATATTTTTAATATACACAATGCAAAAATGTAAAATACTTAACAAAACTATAAATACATTGATTTAATAATTACGGCAACCACATAGGTACTTTTAAAAGTTAAAATAAATACACATGATAATAATTTGAAATAAAATTATATTTTATTCAACAGTAACCTAAGACAAATAATTATGCAGTAGGAAATATTATTAAATAAATGTATATTAAATAAAATGTGAATTTGAATACATTTAATAAAAAAAAAAAGAGATTACAAAATATAATATTAATGATTATAAAGAAGATATAACACTTTATAAAGATTACCATATCATTGCATCTAAAAATATAAAAATAATTTTATCTTTGTTTATTTAATTAAGTACTAGTAACTTTATGCATTGCACTAGCTAAGTAACCAACATTTTTGGAAGTAACACCAGCCATAGATATGCGACCATCATTTGTCAAATACACGCTATGGTGATCAATTAACTTTTTAACCTGATCTTTACTAAGTCCAGTATAACAGAACATTCCAATTTGATCTGTTATATGTTTCCAATTATGTGTAGAACCTTCTTTTTCTAAAAGGTCTTTTAATTGGTATCTGACTGATATTATTCTATCTGCCATACCCTTCACTTCAACCAACCATTGATCCATTAATTGAGGATTGGATAATATTTCTGACACAATTCTAGCTCCGTGTATAGGTGGGTTTGAATACATACCCCGTACAATTATCTTTAACTGAGATACAATGCGGTCTGCTTCATCTTTATCTAAAGTGGTTAATGAAAACAATCCTACACGTTCTCCGTACAAGCCCATGTTTTTGGAAAATGACTGTGCCAAAGCAATCTGGTGACCATCAGATAAAAATGAACGAACAGCACAAGCATCCTGATCAACATTTCCTGAAGCAAACCCTTGGTAAGCCATATCAAAAAATGGAAATAAGCCTTTACTTTTGAACAATGAGGATAATTCTTTCCATTGTTCTGGTTTTGGGTCAACCCCAGTTGGATTATGAGCACACGCATGTAACAAAACTACTGAGCCAGATGGAGCAGAAGATAAATCCTCAACCATTCCAGCAAAATCAAGTCCACATGTTTTTGGATCATAATACCTGTACGTTTTAACTTCCAATCCAGAAAATTTAAAAATCTGATTATGGTTACCCCAGGTGGGAATAGGTACCCAAATAGTTTTCAATGGAGCATATCTTAAAAGAAATTCAGCACCAACTCTTAAAGCACCTGTTCCCGATATAGATTGAACTGAAGCATAGCATTTGTTCTTAATAATAGAGGATTCATTGGATAATGCTAATTGTATAGCTTCATTGCAGAACTCAGAAATGCCACTTATTGGAGCATATTCTTTATCCAAATTTTTTTTTGCTAACAGATTTTCCGCTTGAATGACACTTGGTAATACATATGGTTTACCATTATCATCCCTGTAAGCACCAGCGCCCAAGTTAATTTTTTGTGGATTTTTATCACGTTTGAAGGCTTCTGTTACACCAAGTATAGCATCTGGAGGTCCTTGCTGAACATTGGACCACAATGTTGACATCATACGTAAGTTTTTCTGTTGTTTGCAAATAAATGAAGATAGTTGATGACATTTTGACATTGACATGATTCTAGATTTTTTTAAGGATGTTCAGACGTTTAGTAACTTTCACAATTCACGGAAAGAACCTATAAAATGCACAAAACACAAAAAAAATCACTGAATGATATGGTAAACAGCTTAACACAAAGGATGGAACATATTGCTTAGTTTTATTATGTAGGACATCGGTAATATTTTGATTTGATTTTAAATTAAGTTATGAATAATTCAAAACTCCAAAAAGGTGAAACAATTTTTAACAGGCATAACTAAAGTTGACAATATTAAAGCATAGACCTATAAAGAAATGGACTAATAGCACAGAGAGAGGTCCAAAGGCCAACATTGTTAGAAAGAGATAGCATACAACTTAGGTACCATTTTTACCCATAAATAGCAAGAGGGCATACAATTTAGGTAGTCTGGTCCCATTATATTACATATAATTTAGATGGGTATTGACTATCTCTAACAATGTTAGCACATGACAATATATGGTAGGGTATGAGGGAAGAGCAGTCCATATATTAATAAATCTATGTATTGAAGTATTAAATTCAGATGCCACTATTGTGGTATTAGAATCAGTAAAAGTATGAAAGTAGTATGGTTTACTGGTACTTCCAGAGAAAATCCATCAACCCTCTACACAACTAAACAAAAATGAATACATAAAAACAGAAAATGTATGAAGTCCACTTAAAACAATTTAAAATGTGTGTAGGTAATCGGTTCTTGTGCAATCTGCATCTCAACTAGTCAACTAGAGAAACAAAGTAGTAATATCTTTGTTGCCAATGGCCATAGTTGCCAAGGCTTAATTCAAAAAAAAAAAAAAAAGTAGTGCTAATGAAAAAAATGTTTCAAAATATAAATTGCAAATAAAATAGTTGAAATAAATTTAACATTGATATTTCTTAAAAGCAATTTCATAAGAATGTTTTATTGGCAAGTGGTTTCAAATTTGATAAACTATAATATCTAACTGAATAGTGAAGTATTTAATAACATGTTTCTAAGAGAAGTTTGTTACCAAGCTAATTGAAATACAACTATTACTTTCCTAACAAAGTGATAAATTTTAGATATTAATTTTAGTTCGAAGTACCCACTAGATAAAATTATTGATTAAATATAATCAAACCAAACTAATGTAACAATTGTTAACATAGACAAATTAACCAATAAGTACTAAAACCATAATGTGAGCATTCTATACAGATAATTAATAATAATTATTAAAAAATTAAAACCATTGATTATACCTAGCCAAATTAGTATTTATAATCAAAGTTGAAACTAAGCAAATACAAATTAATTAAATTTATTTCATTTTACTCAACTATTATGTTATTCATAATTTCTACATAGATGATTACTGCAGAAGAGTCGTTCCTAATAATAATTGTCAAAACATTTGCATTTTTGAAATGGTATTAAATATAAATATAACAATGTTAGAAACATACATTTTTTAAGATTTTGAACAATACTCAATAGATATCACTGTTAAGAGAAATTTTAGTCTTAGGTCAACTCCATTGACATTAAACATATGGCATTTCTATCTTCACCAAAAATTGTAAGGCCAACATTACTAGAAGAAAAAATATGGTTCTCACTTGCACAAAAACTCATGAGTGATAAAGAAACGAACACTTAAATAAGAAAAGATATATAACAATCAACAATGTTACAGACTACGGTGTACAATAGTAGATATCAGTATTCAGTTGTGTTGGTTTACACACTTGAATACAATGCCGAGAACCGGTCACCATAAATTTAATATTAATGGTCAACAGATAATTGTTTATATTTTGAGATTAACTAGGTCAATGGTCATGAGAAATAGTGTCGAAGTATTTTATCCTTTTATAGTCAATAATTATAAGTGTTCCGGGATTTTTAATTTTTAATTTTTATACAAAACAATATATTTATTAAAAGTACTGTTTAACTTACGTATATTATGTTAGAACGAGCGTAATCGGCGTCTATGGAATGTGGACACAAGCCGGACCTTTGTCGCACAATGTAGTGTGCACAGTAGGTCAGAAGTTAAAACTTGAAAGTAACCGTCCAAAAACTGAAATGTTCCTATTCAATTTAAAAGGTATTTAAATAGGTAAAATATTTTTAGATTTGCTATTATCAGCGAAAAGTTACTATTATTATTATTATACGCCCGAATACGGAGTACCCGACAACAACAATCTTACTGATAGTAAACTTTTTAGACATAACCTAACAAACCTTACCAATCACCACACGCAATACGGCCAATTTCATATGAGCCAATGTGTGTACCAACTACCAAAATACCAATTATAAAAATTTAAAATTTAAACTCTCTCGAGGGCGGTCAGTTCAATAAATTCGTTTTAGAATTTGGATGTGCATGAATCATAGAGTAATAAATAACAATTATTGTTAAGCATGCGTCCAAGAGTCTTATAGATATAATATTATATGTATATATGATGAGTCTTTGCATCTGACCAATAAGCACTGAGCAGTAAGCACGAATGAAGAATTGAAGAGTAAAGACAGAAGTTATCAAAGGACCACAGACTATAGTAATTAATTCATAATTATGTTCAAGTATTCAACTCATTCTTCTTTCTCTTTGGGATTCACTCATCAGTCTTTCTCACTATTGAAGGATAGGCAATATAGATACTATCATTAATCGTGCTCATTATTGTCCAGTTCAGTGGCGTAGACAACAATTTTCATTGGTAGAGGAAGAAGACATTAATTCATTATTTCTAAGTTTAATTATGTTCTATTTTAAGCTCAGTACCTCAATAGTCAATGTAATATATTTTTTCCTTGTGTGCCCGCCACCATCAACATTTAAGGAATATCCTACAGTAAATTGACTGTTTTCTATAAGGGCTAATTAAACATATTCCTTGGGCGTGGGCCCCGGATAGCCGTTGGCAGGCAGGTCATCGTTATCTCCACTCTCCAGAACAATATTGTGGTTTAGCTCGAGCGAATTTCGGAATTTTTTTTCAAAATGTTTGTTGCTCAATATGATGGTATTTTCAAAAAAAGTCTCTCCTACTTACTTTGCAAGTTATCATCAAAAAGCACGATTTTTCCTAAAATCGTTTTTTTTTTTTTTAAGTTTAAAAATAATTATAAAAAATATTTTAGGAATTTTTTTTTTTTTTATTGCTGGTATTTTTATGCTCGACATTTTGGTGAAATCAGACTTCATTTATCGTATTTCCTTTTATGTTATTGTTAATAAACCACATAAAACATATATATATATTTGCTAAAACCAAATTTGGATTAGTTAAAACGTAAGTTTAAATAAGTCATTTTAATGATTGTATAGGTCGTAGTACCTCCGCTGGGAGGCCTCTACACTCAATCTAATCTGTCGTTATTTATTTTATTTTTATTTAATTCATCAATTGTTCTTATTGTTCTATTTTATTGTAACAGATTGAATAAAAATCCTTTAATAACAAAAAAAAAAAAATTGATTGTATAGACTATAGGATATGGATATCCATGTTTGTTTGGGGAAAAATAATATTCACATTTCTACTAATATATTTATTCATTTAAAATAACATAGATTTAATATCGTCATAAACATGAATAAAAAATGCATGGTAATAATCATGTTAAAGTAAAAGACATTAATCTTGGAATAACAAATAACCCTTTCTGTGCAGTTGCAACACAACTGAATTAATTGTCAACGTAAATTTCAAATATAAGTAATAATACTTATTTGTGATAACTTTGTAATAGCTATGATTCAATGATTCATGGCTAAATAACTTAGTTATTTAGCCATGCAATGATTGCTCTCAGAATCTGATAGTATGATACTATGATACCCATAATTTATAAATGCCAAAATAGACATAATATGGGATTGTAGAAACAAAAACTTAACATCTTGAGCATAGCAAGAAAAATTGTTTAGGATGTATTTATGCATAAATTGAAGTCGTCAATTTCATTAACCACAACTCCCCACAAATATTACTTTTACTTATATCCTCCCATATCGCTCCCTCCTCTCTCCCCCGAGAATAAGACCATGGTACTATGTTACTACTAGGTGGGGTGCTAAGCATGGGCGTAGAATTGGGGGAGGCTATAGCCCCCCAGAATTATTCAATTAAGTGTTTAACCGCTTGTGGAAAAATGTTCTATTTTATACGATTTTATACGTCCATGTATAAGAACTGAAAAATGAAATATTACTTTAATGTTTTGTTCCTTAAAATTTGTCTTTAGTTACATTTTTAAAATATATGTTGTGTACCCGAATAGTTATAGGCTATAATCCCTTTGCCGAAGTATTTCGCAAGAAGTTCCGGCAGCGTCACCGATACCACAAGCGGAAAAAAAGGCTATAGCCCTTCCCAAAAAATTCATAATGCTACGATTCAGGGGTCGGCTGGTAAACCCTTATGGATAGTACCGCCACTACCGCAATATCGCCACAGGTCAGACACCCGCGGATACCTACCTAAATAGTAAATACCCATTCAGCAATGGTTGATAAAATAAAATTTTCTTCCGACTAGACTAGTGGCTACCGGTATAATAAAATATTATTCTGCTGCACGTGCTACACGTCGTCGTTTGTTTTGTATGGCTTGCAGTTGGCAATCATGGGTAAAATTGTAAACAAAGTTCTAATGATAAAAAGACCGACTCTAAGTTTAGTGATTGTACCCGCGACGCCGCGGTGGTGATTAGAATAATACGAAATACAAATTACTGACGATTACGGACCGTTGTAAAATAAGAGGTACCTAGTACCTATAATATATTTTTACACCATTAACAGTTTTAAATTTTTAAATAAATGAGTATTGACTACTGAGTATCGTAACATGATTTTACATTAGGTTTTTGATAAAGTTTTGGCGGAGGCGAATCTCTACTTTATTTTGCCATAATAACCTCCAAACCCCGCTTCGTTTTGGCTCTACAATTTAGTAAATAGTAAGTGAATTTTTATGAATGAGTGCAATGGACCTGATGGAATGTTACGTATCAACCACCCGGATCGCTCTGGAAGCCAAGAGCACGGATCCGTTGACCTGGCAAAAATTGCACACATTGTTACCATTATTACATGAGCATCTATCATGTCGGGTATGTCATAAGCTGCTCGACCGACTGAATCCCTATTTGGGTGGTTATGCATGTACAATGTGTATGGATCAGCAAACAACCGAAAATTTGTCCAGTACGATAATACAATGCTACAAGAAATTGTGTGCTTATATACATAGCACATCATTGTACAAAGTTATGTGCACAAGAGTTGAAGATAAAATGTTAGTCGAATTAATAACCGAAGTTATTGGTCTATCTCGATCAGTTAATGGCTACAGTGGAATGGTGAATGGTAGAGTAATTAAACAAGAAATAAAAGAAGAGGATAGTATTGACACAACTTTATTAAATTCATCAGATATTCAACTACCCATAGACAACCAAACATCGGAGGATTATATTAACTTACAAATATTTGATGAACAGAAACACAGAATTCAAGATCAATCTGTATTCAACAATATTCCTAAAAAGAAGGTGTGAATCTTATTTTTTATTTCTACCTGAAATATATATAATTAAAAATATTTTATGTTTTAACAGAAAAATGAACGTCGTTGGGGCTGTCGATGTGGTAATGCTACAACTACTCCTGGCAAGCTTACATGTTTCGGACAGAGATGTCCCTGTTATACAGAACAAAAACCTTGTAATCAATGCAAATGTAGAGGGTGCAGAAATCCTAGACAGAAGAGATCCAATAATGATGACAACTTAGAAATAGATAAAGTGCGTCGGAAACCAGTGACCTTAGAACTAATATCTTCACTCAAGCCTTCACATAATAAAAGCAAGCCGGTAAAATAAGAAAATTATAAAACACATTTATTAAAAAGTAAATAATAATACCAGAAAATATATTTTGTTTCAGGCATTTAGTTCTTATACAATGAATGATATGTTACCGTTTTCTTCACACAGTCAAAGTTATGATCAAGGTGGGACTGAAGACAAACTTGGACATGTGAACTCTATTTTCCATTCTCCTTGAATAACCATCATTGAACATTATTTAGTGGAACTAGTGTTGTAAGAGTATTGGATGGTGTTGTATACTATGAACAACATATGTTACCTACATCTTAAATAACTACTATAATTAACTTTGGTACCTAAAATAATTTTTTTTTTGGTATCAGCATTATATTATGTATTACTGTATTTTCATAAATATTTAAGTGGACACTAAACCTTATGTATTGTCTCCGTCTCACAAATGTACAACATAGCAAAAATTGTTTTGAGCTGGACAATTATACTCCCTTTGTATTTATACTAAAATTACCTCAATTCAACTACAAGGAAGAAAATGCAATTAAAGTTATCAGTTAAAGAACCTTATTTTTTTTTTCATTTAATTATTAAAAATTATTGATTAGTGCTGTCAAAAAATAAAAACATTTTTTATTTATATTTTGTTGTATTTTATTTTTCAATGTTTTTTCTTTTAGTGGTAAATAAATCATTAATTAGGGTTGATTGGTCTTAATGTTATTTTTTATAGTACGTTTTTCATGATAAATATGAGAATATATATTAATACTTTCTCAAAATATCTGTAAAAATCATCCCAAAAGTTATCGATATAATATCTAACATGAAAGAGGTCCAGTCTCAGAAAAAGACAGTTTATTGATTAATATTATAAAAATAATTAAAGAACCTAAAGCAGAAATACTGTTACTCATTTCTACATACATTATCATATACTGTCATGTATATTTGTATACTAAAGGATAGTGATATTACACATTGAACAAGTATTTTGTCATTGCGTTTTTATTATTTGGATAACATAAGTACAATTAAAGTTATCAGTTTGAGGACATAAGGTTTTTGTTTCTTTTATTTATTAAAACTTATAGGTTAGTGCTAACAAAAAAAATTAAAAAGCTACGACACAGATAGGTCCTTCAGTATGGGTTTTGGAATTTTGGTAATTCTACTATAAATACAGAGTATAGCTGTCTCGCTGGCCGCTCAAAACAATTTTTGGTACGTTGTACATTTGTAAGACGGAGACAACACATGCAGGTGTAGCGTTCTCTTAAACGTTTTCTGAAATCTTAAAAATAAATTGATTACAAAAGTTTGAATAACTGATTTCGAACATTCTTATTTAAGTGTTTTATCAAAGTCATAACTAATGTTCTTTAAGTCTGGATAATAATCAGAGCACACTACTAAATTATTTACTGTAGGATGTGTAGGTAATAGGTAACACACTACACTAATGAATTACTCAGTGGCTAAAAGTAAGTAAACATAAAGCCGCTTTGAATATGATATTGCTGTAAGTGGCAAAAATGATAGAGCGCATATGTCAAGATACCCCTATCCCTTTAAGTATGACCAATAATATATTTGTAGACAGATTTATTTACATACAATATTTATTAGATAACTGTTGGATTGGTAGTTGGTACACAATTATAATCAATGATTTATTTATGTTTAAAACATAAAATTCCTTACCTATATACTATTTCAGTTAAGAACTGTACTGGACTGCTGACTTGTGCGGATGTGGCATTACTACATAATAGGTGTAGTGTGTATGGATGATTGACTTGGTGAGGGTGACAAACTAGTGTTGCCTGACTGCTGCCCTGAAAAAACTGGTCATTGCCGAATACTTTTCTTAACTTGAATAGAGCCTAGGTACTATTTAAATTTTAAACTACATTTTTAGGTTCATATTCAGTTAATATATATTTTTACCAATATTACAGTTCTTAATGTCAGTATAATTAGTTTATTAACTGTCAAATTGAATTATTTCTATAATTATGTATGTCTTATTTTACACATAAAGTTAAGGTAAATTTGTTTACCAATAAATTGTTAATTGTTGACTCGTCATTAGTAATAAATATTTATATTATTATATTTTATTGTGTGTGAAGTTAACAATATGTTACTGTATAAATCATATTCAAAAAAGGTAATTCTTAATATTGTTCCACTATTTTAACTAAGAAAATAAAATTAACGGATATTGAAGTAAGTGTATATGGACATATTATATTGTATTTGTTTAAAAAAAAAATTATAGATTTTCCATCATCTATTACAAAATATAAATGTATACCATTTTATTATAAATTATCATAGTAGTGTATACTTTTTTAACAGTGTTTAACTCATTTGAATAATGTGCGATTTCACCATAATACAATTTTTTTTTTAAAGTGAGCCTCTATATAATATGTAAAATTCTCAGGTCTCCAATAACCGCTATGTTACTTGATACATTATGCCAGTATTGCCTGTAGTAAATACTGAAATATTAATTTGAGATCTATTTTGTAATCACCAATACCAATTTATTTTTATTTTTCCTATGGAAATCTTTAAACAATTGTTTACTAAAATAATTTTAAGTTGTTTAACAAAATGTGTGTATGAGTAACTATTGTACATTTATACTAGGTATGTCAAAAAATAAAGTTTCATTTATCATTAACACTTATATTTATAATTTGCTTTTATGAAAGTAATCTAGTATTTTTAACTATTCATATGCTCTACCTTTAGTTTAGTATATACTTAGTTTTAGTCATCAAATGACAAAGGCAAAACAATGTATCACTAAAGGAGATTAGGAAAACTAGTGGAAATGTATGAACTGTTGACAACAGTTACAGTTGTATGTAAACACTTTTTATTCTTAAGGGCTAAGGCTTAACATAATATAACTATGTTAGTATAAATGTATTAAATGTAGTCCCTATAATTTGGTTATGATGATAGAATTAAATTAAATATATGTAAATGATTTGTTTTTTTTTTTTAATTAGGATGTGTTAGTGTTATTGAGTATAATTTGTGCAGTCTCCACGGAAAAATTATGGTTTATTAACCTTTATCCAATCAATTATGTTTGTTATTACACTTAAAGTAAATAAAAGCATAGATAAATTACTAATATAACTTATTGTACATAAAATATTGCCTTTTTCAAATATTGGATTACAAATTACCATCTCAGCAATCTAGCTTTACCTACTACCCTAAATTTGTCAGCACTGCAGGCTACAGCCAACTCTTAAAAATAAAATGTATTGTCATTTGTCACTTTAATAATTATTCATATTACATAATATTTGTACGGCAGTAACAGTAGTTACAATATGTTTTTGTATTAAATCGGTAATAATTTAATTATGCACAGCAATTGATAATCATGCAAAATGTTTTTAAAATATCTAAACATACAAAAGTATTATTTTCTGACTTTCTGAGTTGACCTCTTAAACATAGCTGATACATCATCTTTCCTTGCCACACTACAATGGCCAATTAAAATATTATGTCATGTACTCAACATTTCAACAGCATTTTAAATATTCTAAAAAATTATAAATACATTAAAATATGTTGCACATTTTATTAATTTATTTTTGATGAAACTCTGTTAGAACATGACAACGATTAGAATATAACAGAAAAAAAGAATATAATTAATGTTTTACATTTATATACCAAATTGATGAAATATTAAATAGCATACAAAAAATATCAGAAAATGTTATCCAAATATAACTAATAAATATTTGTACGTATTTTGGCTAATATCGTATAAAACACATAAATTTTAATAATTAAAATAAATCCAGATTTCAGTTATTAGGAAGATATTGTTTTGTATCATTCGTAACACAACTAAACCTACTACCCATGTATGTTTTAGTCTTACAATTTTAATTAGTAGGACCTTAGTTACAGTACCTAACCAACTATTTGCATGTAAGATATGCCAATAAAAATACATTGACAGTTTTCATTTAACTAAACAAATACTAATAGATTATTAACTCTCGTTATATTTAGTACTATATATACAGTCACCACTTACCATTAAACTTTAATAATAAATAGAGATAACTGCTCGCGTAAGGTAAAATACAGTAGGTCAATATGGTAAGATTTTTGAGAAGTGAATTTATTTTATATTGTGGAGAATTTTCTTTTGGTTGGACATTTTACACATTTAACATGAAAATTTCAAATCCGTAGTTTTGTAGATTTACTTCAATTGTATTTAGACTCTCAATGGCTTAACTTAAGGGAACAGAATAGTGAGTAGTTCATATTAATATTTGAATAGTAGGAATACAATAAATTAAATACCCAAGCACAGTTTATTTTTGGCAGTTTATTGAAAATATTGACTGTTGTATTTCTTTAACTAAATACACAAAACAATATTTGTTAGGTATTTAGGAATGAGGTTTTTTCTTATCCCTTTACAACTATTATAAGTTACTTATAACTTAAACATTATTTTTGTAACACAAATAAGGGACAAGAGAATAATTAAATAACACAATTATCAATATTTTGAGTTCTAGAATTATTTTAATAGCTGTAATGCAATATTTAAAATCTTAAACAAATAAATTAGATTACAGAAAAATGTAATTTTTTCTATTTTATTTTTTCTCTTCATACAATTAATAAATTCTATATTGTTAACATTTGTTGTAGTAATAATCTACTAATTGTATGTAACGATAAAAAAAAAAAAAAACAAACAAATATAGTAATAAAACCCCAGTGATCACAGTCGCTTTAAAGGAAAAATTATGTATATATATTTATGATAAATAAATTATAATAATTATTTAATTATACAAATATAGTAGTAAACACATGAAAACAAAACATTAATGAAAATATCAAACTAAAGATAGAAAGACCAGTTTAAGTGAGAGCAAAATATAAAGCCCTGTAAATGGTATAATTTCATAGGTACATTAAAAACATAATACAAATGTATCATCATGAGCTAGCTGGCAGTTCACTTGATGCTCTACACAGCAAATTTCTAACAAACCCTCTAGAAAAAATTAAGAAAATGTAATTAACTAGAGAACATCAAATATATGGTAGAGATATTTACCTGAGAGGTAAAAAATTTTGTTGAGAGTCCATCACTGGAGGAGAAATAATGCTGACTGTATTGCCAAAACGCACTTCAGTAGTGGCACGTGATCTAATTGATGTTGCTGGAGTATCAGTTTCATCACTATTTCCCAATACCCGTCGCATCAGGCCAGCAGTCAACTCTTCTAATGAACTTAGAGACAAATTGAGAGGCTGTTGTGATTGTGATTGTGTCTCGTCACTCACATCAGCCGACGTTTTATGGCCAGAACGCATCGACGCCGTCTCACTATTGTCAACTCTTGTGAAACATAATTAAATGAGTTTAGTGAATTAGGGATATGTTCTAGAAACCCTTCAAACCCATAAACACTTTCAGCTTTAAGAAATTCAATCAGTTTGAAATGTGTGAAAATTGTAACATAATCAAGTTTAAAATGTTCAGGTCTGACACCAGATGAGTTTAAAAAAATTTGTTAAGTGTAAGCACTGTTTTGCTATTATTATATTTTAAAAATTTCTTCTAGTTTGAGTTCTTGTAAGCTTTAATTCAACCCATCCTTAATTTGTGTTTATTAAATGTTTCAATTCATATATTATTTTAATTTTGAATGTATGTTTGAAACTTTGGTAAAAATTGTGTATTTAATTGATTTTTGAAATAGATAATTACTTTTGAGCTAATAAACTGCCAGCTAATGCAACAGTACTTGCAGATTCTCGATCAGCATCTCTTCCCAATGCAGTATCACCATCCCAATCATTCCAGAATGATGGTTCTCCAATGGAAGGATTACCAATTTCAGCACCGTGACTAACAGTATCACCATCTATAAAAAAAATAAGACGGGTATTTGAACAATTGTTTAAAATAGATAAATATTAAGTTTTGATTTACCAGGAGTTGTGAAGTAATCAATATTAACTGTTTTAGGAGCACTGTGCTCTTCATCAAAATCAAAATGTACTCCATTTGAGGATGTAGTAACTCCACAGCCACCTGAGCGACACAGAGATACTGGAACTACACCGTAAACATAGAATAATAATATTGGAACGCCAATTCCAACAGCTAAACTGGCCATAACTGGTGCAGCAATCAACTATAAGATATAAAAAAGCAATTATATTTTTATAAAATGAAATTAAGATAATTTTTAAAAGCTAAAAAAATGTATTTTTAATTTGTTAAGAACTATCCTAGACAACTAAAATTTTAACAATTGTATATTTAAAAGAAAAACAAATGCTAATATTTTATGCATATTGACTAATTTTACATGTGTGCTGGGCTTCATTTGTAATATTACATGGTACTTCATCCTATAACCTCGTACTTAAAAAACATCCTGGGTCAATTTAAATTGTATGAAAGTATTACGTAAGCCCCAAATAAACCGAGAAACACCTTTAAATTAAAATGTATACGGAGTTCCTACTTTGTATGTCAATGATTTAATATACTTCATACTATTTTTAAATATTGTAATATATTAGTTAATTAATAATAATTATTAGAATAATTTTAAATAAAAACTTATAAATATTATTTAAAATGTTTTTAATTGAATTTAAAGGTAGAGGTATAAAATTGATACTTAAAATACTTTTATAGAAAGGTCATTTATCAGTTTTTATAAGCCCGGTATGGTTTATAATTTAAAGTACAATAGATCCAATAAATGGAATAAACTATGATTGTTTAATAATATAGGTCAGAACCTTGTAACACTAAAATTTTGATTAATAAATATAATATACAGATTGCAAAGGTAAACTTATTAATTTCAGCAAAAATAGCATAAGGTAGAAAATAAATAAATAATTAAATCAGCTTTCACATAAAGTTAAAATATAAATGTCTTGAAGGAAGGTAAATTTTATTAGACCCGAAAATATTCATATTCAACATAACTTATTATTAAGCTAGAATTTATATGCAATAAAAATATAGGAAATAAACAATTTTCCGATAGTTTCCATAATACTTTTTAACACAAATGAATCTTAATTTTAAATAAGGTTCTTTATATACAAACTAAATCGTTTTTGTTGTTCTTACTTTTAAACAAATCAATACCATTCCTCCGTATTTTTCGTTTAAAAGAAATCATTAATTTTAAGAAATATACATTAGGAGCATCTATCAAAACACTCAGGCCTTTTACAATATTTTTGTTACAAGGGCGACGGGGCCGGTGCGTTTTTAGTTTTTAGTACAAAAACAAGTCTTACAGGAAAAACTCACGCACCGTAGAATAGCCGGGTTTTGTAAATTAAATAGGATCGAAACACGCGTTTCATACTTCTACACCAATACGCGGTAGTAAAATTCATACTTTTGAATGTTCGATTTAATATAATATGTATAAATTCTTTGACAAAATAGCCTTTTAGAATGTTTATATTCAATTTTCAATTTTAAAGAACTTTAAAATTAAGATCTTTTTTCAAAAATCCCATGAAATAATTCCATTACATTTGTATTTATTTATTTATTTTGAGCACATCTGATTTTAAATCAAAAAAGTAATTCCTAAAGAGCATAGTCTAGATCCTAGACAATGAATTCATTGATATGTTCTACTATTCGATTATTATTTAATAGTCAGAAAAATGACAAAAATTCCTTTTGGTTAAATTTAGCTTCAAAATATCCAGCCATTTCTCAGAAAACCATTTCAATCTCAATTACCATTTTCCATATCATATCTTTGTGAAAAGGCATTTTCTGCTCTGAACAATATAAAAACAAGTAGAAGAAATCGTTCGAAAAATGTTGAACCTGTTTGAGTCTTACTGTTTCAACTGTTTTACCTCGAATAGAGGAATTAAATAAAAAATACCAGTCTCCAATATCACATTAAATTTGTATCATTAAAATATTAAATAAAAACAATTAGTTACATATCAATATGACATTATGTATATTCATTATTATTCATTTGTGTACCGTGAAAATTTTTAAAATGATCAAGTGCGCCGTTAGGAAAAAAGGTTGGGAATCCCTGGTCTAGAACCTTACAAATTCAACCATTTTTTAGAAATTACAATCGGATTTCATGAATTACGTTTAATTTACTACCGCTTTAAGTAGTTTTTATAGTTATGCAAACATGAAAATATTTCATTTTTCACAATGTATTGACATGAATGTGCGCGTGCGAGAGTTGCATTCAGCAGAGCCGTCGGAGGCTGTGACAGCGATTTTCTCAAACATACACTAATGCACAATTTTTGTTATTCATCAAACGTATCTTTCTAATACTAGTTTAAGAAAAATGAAAATTCGACGTTTGATTATATCTGAAAAAAGTTTTCAACTTTCAGACACTAAAAATTCTAAAAATTCAACAAATCAATGAGGCGTGAGAATTTTTGCCACAAAGTCAAATTTGTTGATACAATATACCATATTAATCAACCCCCCCTGAATCAGGCGGAAGATTAATGGAAAAGTATTATAGCTAAGGTATCAACTGAAACTATAACATTCAAATTTCATAGGATTGCGGAAAATTGGAAAACACCCTTAAATATACACAAAATATGCATTTTTTCATCCATGTATAATCTTATAAATAAAATAAGTAAAATAAAAATGGTGGGCAAATGGGAACGATTCTTCTGTACTTTAGGTGTCGTGTATGGGTTACTGCAATGGATGTATTAGATTTGAATTTAATATATTTCAGCAATGTCATGGCGCACCTAAATTAAACATTCGGTGAAAAAAACCATGTACCTAATTTTATTTTTTTCCTGAGATACACAAAAACAATATAGATTTAGTCAAAAACTGGTTTTGCATAAAAAATTATTCTCATTTTTCCTTATTTTTTTTTTTTTGTTTTACCCGACGCTTTTGAAGACTTCTCGAAATTTTTCATCTTAATCTTTCAAAAGCACAAACTAGATTCACTTTAGCACCAAAATCTTAGCATTATTTCGACTACTTATCCTGTATACAGTATACACAAAAAGTTAAAAAAAACACTCACAAGTATCACTGTAAAATCAATAACATTCATTATTCCGCTCAGAATCCAAATAAATAGATAGTTTGTATCAATATAAAGCGATACGTGTAATTTACCAATTGGATCAAAAAGGATGTTGCAAAAAAAACATTCTAAATGCATAGTATAATGATATGATTGTAGTATAATGATGGACTGCTATAAAATGCAATCAAAATAAATAAGTTTTTAGATTTATTTTTTGTAATCGCTTTCGCAATGGTGAACAATATACGTGCCTTTTGTTGTATTTAGGTACTAGGAGAACGAGAATGCAACAATAATACAATGAAACTGTCAACCATGGGGCGTGAAATTGACGGTCGCATAAAAAAAACTACGAGAAATTATATAGATTCATGAGCGGTGATTTAGTAAAATACAATTTTACTATAAGGCGGAGCGGAGTTAATTGTTATAAACTAACATAACAAATATTTCTATCAAAGTTTCAAAATATTAAATAGGTATATGTTCCACGTATCATGTATATAACATATTGTAAAGTTAACAATTATCAAACAGATATTTCTATAACAAAAAATAAAAAATGTATGTTGATTTATTTGAACCTTAAAAAAAAATAAATGTTTTTATTCTTGAGATAATACTTCGGGTATCTCGGCTATAGAGAAGCTATAAGCTATAAGCTATATCTTTGGCTACAAACTCCAAAATAGAATTCACCGACTAAATAGTACGAGTGTTCAAACTATAAAATAACTACTTAACTAAATTATGTAAATTAATAAAAATTATTATCGGTTTTTTCAATTCTCGTTATTTGTTTTGCGTACTCGCATCTCTCTACATCATCCCACAATTACGTCACGGCACGCTGACTCGGCTCTGCGGTATTGATGGGTCGCACGGATGACGTACATTCTTGCACACACCCACGGCGGCAGTCGGGCACGCCGGGGGACGCGCGAAGCGAGACGGTGGGAGCGAGCGTAAGATGACGGGAGGGAGACTGCGCACTGCAGAAGGGAGATCGTATACTACCAGTGCAACGGCGGGGAGAGATCGCGATCTGCCGACGTTTTCCCGTTGTTTCCAGTGCGGGGAGGGGGCTCAGTCGGCGGCTGCCGATACTCGTGCGAGGGGCGGTTAAGGGTGGCTACGGTGGCGGTGAGGGGGCCCAGGGGATGCAGGTCGACGACTCTCACAGGCTTACACACGCGCGCGCACGCTGTCGCGCCGCCGCCGCCTCCATAAATGCGCGCGCGGTCGAGGCCAGTGTTGTCGTGTCATACGCGTAATACGCACTGCCGCCGCCGCACGGTCAGACGTCGAGCGCTGTCCATCCGCCCCCGAGGCATCGTCAGCGATCCTCGGCCATGTCGTCAGCAGCCGCGTCAGCCGCCGCCGATGACGACGACGAGCATCAGCGGCAGCCGCTGCCCGCCGACCCGGACTGGTTGTCCGGCGTCATCAGTCGGCTGATCGGCCGGCCGCGGGATGCGGTCACGGTGATCTGTGACCGGACCATCGCCACGCCCGCGGTGTCCGACCCGCACAACGTGCTCAGCTCTATAGTGGCCGTGCACATTGTGTACGCAGTGGACGGCGTTCCGGGCACCGACTCCCTCGACGTGGTCATCAAGAGCCTGCCGCAAGAGCCCTACTCCAGAGCGTTCGTGCTCGAGGCCCAGTTCGACTACAGAGAAGTTCACTTTTACAACACGGTGGGTCCTCCTTCTACCCCTCCCCCGTATTCACATAAACATTACACTGACCTTGCCCCACCCCACACGTCACCCCATAAGCACGTCTGCACATCCATCACCTCTTGCACAGTTGTACCGTACACACCGCGAGCGAACTGCACACGACATCGTCGAATTCATAAGATAGAAGCCATGATCGGATGTTCTAGGAATTAATTTTAGCTCATCCAACCCCTAGCAAGATTGACATCCGAAATTGGGTGGAATACACACAACACTATATTATAGTCTTCGATTTCAATCCGTGCAAACCACGGTAATTGCCATGGCTACATAACGCCCGTCGTGCAGTAGACCTTGACCACTCGTTTCAAACATTAAAAAATAAATAAAAAATAGCTAGGCTACGTTGATGCGGTTATGGCTCCCGCGGATGCTTTGAACGAATTCCAGTCAAGGAAATAGCGTGTGCATGGAGAGATGTATGCGTATTGTTATTTGCTGCTGTCTAACCACAAGCGACCCTGAGGTATCATAAACGTGGACCATCCCACCGCACACACGTCAGACACGTCTGTTATTATGTCACGTAATTAATTATAACGCTTGCGGTCAAAAACAACAAAAAAGTTAGTTGGTATCTATCACTTTAAATAAACATGAAAAAAAGAATAATTAAAACAATGGGTGTCGTGATAATATATCTATACATACTTTTTATAATATGCTAATATTAAAAAAACCATTAAACAATAGAGATTACCATTATGTCAGTAGAATAAACATATAATGTTCATCGCAATAAAATTAACCCACTTTTATTCATCATAAGTTGATTTTTTTAAATTACAATTATATAGATATACTTCTCAGCAAAATGAAACCATGAAAATATTATTATTTGTTACACTATACCTTTTAAATTATACTACACTTTGTAAAGAGGTATAGAATACAACTGTCAAAATAAAAAAACCTTCCTCCAGATAAAACTAACTTTTTCAAAATGCTTCAATATTCCAATCAGATATCAATTTACTAGAATAAGGAGTATAAAAGTTTTTCTATTTTTTAAGCATATCAATTATTTTTAAAACGCAGAATAATTTTTTAAAAAAAAACGATCTCCTGACTAATAGCACATATTATTTTATTATACTGTCTTATAAATGTTAAATTATTTTTATTTCTAATAATTCAAATTTGGTTACAGGTATTATTTGAGTTAAGAAATCTCGAAGAAGATGTGCTAACAAAACACAATCGTTCTGCGATTGGTGACATGCCAGTTGCCAAATGTTACTTTGCTGGTATGAGTGCCAGTGGTAAGGATGAGTCGATGTTAGTATTGGAAAACTTATCCAAACGCGGATATACAGCAGCCAACTTCTCTACTGGACTGACATACAAAGAGGCCAAACTCGCTCTCGGTTCTATAGCTCGAATCCACGCAACGTCTCTTGCTTTGAAACTCAAGCACGGGCCGCTCACCGAACGTTGGCCGTTCCTATTCCAAACATCTCGTGCAACACTATCTTACCAAGCACTCGTTGAACGGGGAATGCCACAATTGCACGTTTTCCTACGATCTAAAGGGCCACAATACGACACGTTAATCAATACACTTAGATCTCTATGTCGTGTTACTAAACAAATAATCGGATCGCTAATGATACCCAAAGAACCGATGGGGTTGATGACGCACACGGACTTTTGGTGTAACAATTTAATGTTTGGAGAACAGGACCAATGTGTAATACTAGACTGGCAAATGATATCCTATAGTAGACCAACCAACGATGTCGCACTTTTGCTTGTAAGTAGTTTGTCAACGGAAACCAGACGAAACCATTCAAATGAGTTGGTAGACATCTACTGGGAAGCTTTAACAACGCATGCAAGTAAATTGGGAGTTGATATAGAAGGACAACTTGAATACAGCCGATATGACTTGGACGAAGACATGAAGGAATCAAAGTTATTGGCAGTACTTTTGTGTATAGGTTCAGTGGACGTTGCTTTAGGCAATGAAGAAACTGAACAAAGATTACTAGACCTGTTGACCGATCTACAAGCTGAGGAAATCTTCAACAGACATTTAACTGAAATTTCAGCATAGTATTTATTCAATTTTATCTTTGTTTATAATGTATTTCTCTTTTCTCAAGTAATGATATTACTTTAGAGCTTTCACACTATATAATATATAGAAAAAATATACTTGTTAATCATAAGGGTTTTATTTCACTTTTACTTTTTATATTAGTTCTGCAAATTCAGATGACACTTGAGGTTAAGGTAATTTTTTTTAAATGTTAAGAATTTACAAAATATATTAATATTAGAAAAATATTGTTAAAGCTAAATCATCATATTAATTTTATTAATTTCATCTCATGTACTCAAGTTTAAAAAGCCTAAAAGCCTTAATTGTTAGCATAACCTTAACACGGTATGCAAAGTAATTAATTTAATATTAGATCCTATAGCTCAAAACAAATGTATAAACATGTTATATTTTTCTTTTTAAAACCAGTTTTTACTGATTCTTTACATTTTGACATGTTAAAATTATGTTGCCTAAATTAATGTAACGGTGCTGTCCATACTACTCGTATTATGTGATTTTACTTACTATAGTAATAATAAACATTATTGATTATAAAATTGAAATTAATAATTGATTTGTGAGTACCTTCCAGTTTAATTATTAAATACGATAAAAGTATACACCTACATCCAGTGAAAAAGTGAAAATTAAGAATAATAAATATTCAAATTATGTTTGTGTAATACCAACAGAAGTACCTACTAAGAATGGCCAAAAAGTATATTTTAATTCAATTATACAAATTTAGTGATCACCTTTTATAATTGTAAGATAATATAAAATTCCCTCGGACAAATTAAAGTAAAACAATCTCAAGTCTAAAATATTTAATTAAACCATTAAAAAATACATTAAAATAATTATGAACCCTTAACTCTATAGCTAGTTATTATTATAATAATTAATTTAACTAAGAGATTAGATCAATTAGTTCAAAAAAAGTGAAAAAAAATTTTTTTTTAATATTACTCATTTACCTATATTACTGTCATAATATATTTTTTAGTTGAACCATAATGGCATAATGTATTTAAGTATTAAGTAATAAAATTAGTATGAAGTTAATACTCACCGCAGCTAATACCCCACCAGCAATTGCAAAATTTCGTTTTAATCGACTTGAATGTCTATAACGAGTATACATTTTTCGTCCAGTCCAAACAGGTACACCTTTTAATATAAATAAAAAACAATACACAAAGAATATCTAATCAATTCATTCATTATTAGATCAATAAGTTTTAATTACCAATAATTATTGCAGGTATTGCAATTCCTGCGATTAGACCAATACCAGCTGGAGCTCCAACCAATGTACCTAATTGCCATAAAAGCTTTTTCTTTCTGGACCAGGGTTTTTTGCCCCAAAAAGTACAACCTGAAGGACTAGAATTAAAGTTTATATATAAATAATTTAAAATTGCAATACTAACCCAAATGAATATAAAAAAAAAATGGTATTACCTAAGATAATGTAAATCGCTAACTACTTTCATACATAGCCAACAAAATTCTGCTCCACAAACTGCACATGTCATATGATTGCATGATCCATCGTCCATTTTTACAATTAAAACCTGGCAACGAGGACATGGCTTAATGTCTTCACCTAAAATTATATTTTATGTTACTATCACATGGATAAAATAAAAATATTATTAACATTTCATACGTGACTGTGAATCTGTACTAAATGTTAAAGATGAGGTTCTCATATTAGATGATCGTTTTGCTCTAGCGGAATCACATGTTTGATTAGGATGCCATGCAGCTTTACAATGGTAACAAAAGTATGAATCGCAACCAGGACGTTCACATTTTATTTTTGGACAACTGGCACAACCTGCCGCTATAACAGCATAACTAAAACAATACACCTTTATCATTATTTGTTACTGATATACTACCTAAATATGTATTATTTATTAGTCTATTTCCAAATTGGTTAAAAAGATAGTTTTTTAAAAAACAAAATAAACTTAATGAAGCAAATAAGGTAGTTGTATAGGTTACATTAAGTTATTATCAAGTTATGTTATTTTATAACAAAATTTAGTAAAATAATTCTATAAATAAACAATATTTAATAATCATTAAATATACATATATTATTATTATATTTCATTTTTCTGGAAATTTGAATAATTAATTGTGGATTATTATTTAACATTTCCAAGTTTACTTATTGTTATACACATTACAAATAATTAATGATAGAACTTATGTTATAATTTAGGTTATAGGCTATAGCTAATATCAGCCATTAAATGGTATTAACAAATTGGCGAACAGTCAAACCAATTTTACAAGTATAGCTGTAATTCTTTCTTTTTTTTTTATTTAAATCAACAGTTTTAAGTATTATTGTAATGGCAGTACTTTAAAAACCTTCATAAATGTGTCAATACTAACAATAATAGTTTGAATGGTTTCTTATGAAAGATCAAGTAGCATATTGCATATCCCATGTAAAAACCACATTGTACTGTTGAATACAGAATTTAAAGTGGATTTGTGTCAAAAATGTTTTCCACTCTATTTATAAATTAATATATTTCTAATACAACAGTTACAACAATATTTATCAGCTGCTTTTAAGTGTATAATGTTATAGTAAAATGTTAAAATTGTTAATACTGCTATGACAGAAATTAAAGATATTTTTGAGATAATATGTTTATCACGTTTTAGATGAATATTTAGCATTAATTAGAGTGATAAAATATCAAGGGTATAAGCTATTTAATGATGATAACCTTAAAATGTAAAACAATTTACCTGCAGTCAGGTGAAGGGCAATATCTAGTATCAGGATCAACTGCTAACACCCTCCGTACCATAAAGTCTTCATATTTTTCATAAAGGGCTAGATTATTGAGCACACTTTGTATATCTTCATAGAAATATATTAAACATAAAAAAAAATGTATTAAACTATAAACATTTAAAAAATTTAAAATATACCATTTGGATGCATAGCCTCAGTACACTCTGGACAGGTGATGTTTACACGCGATTCACATATTTCTATACGTAAATATTGTTGAAAACAGTCAAAACAGGAACGATGATTACAAGTTGACAATTTGGCAAAATAATTTTCATCAAATTTGGCTAGACATAATGGACACTCTAATAGACCATCAACTGGAACACCAATCTGGAAACATAAAATTGTATATAAATTTAAAAGATAATAGTTATAAATGCAAAAACAATAGTATTTCTTTGGGGATAACCAGGCAGATAGGTAAATTATACATTTTTTTGTTCAAAAAATATTTATAATATATATAAGCAATGGGTAACAGTTTTTGCACAGAGTTTGTAACCTTATTTGCATAAAATCATTGAAGCATATCAACTGTGCATTCATACAAATATGCAATTAAATATTTAAGTATAAAACTATAATAGGGGCACAAAAAAATAAATTTAAACGTAGTTTATGACGTAATCAATTTATTATTGCTAATGTATCATATATAATAACAAAGGTTTAAAATACAATTAACAAAATTGCATAGTGCAGATAATTGTGTATGGTTGGCTTTTTGTGGTAAACATAATATCTCCTATTTTTTTTCTGCAAAAATACACGTCATGTAAAATATTTAAAAACAATTTAAATGACAACTAAAACTACAAAATTAAGAATTTCAAGTTAAAAAAAATTAAATGTGGACAAATAACAACATTTGGATAAATACAACATTTTAATTCTAGACATTCAGAAATTAATGTGTGTGGTCAGATAATAATCAAATATTTGTACTACAAAAAAATATGCAAATTTATAAAGTCCCTATCTCTGTTTATGCGCTATAATATTTTAATAACAGCCAATCGGAAACTTCAGAACTATTGATGTAGACTTGTTATTGAAAAAAAAATTGAATATAAAGAAAATAAACTACGATGATATAAGGGCCTTGATTATTCAAGGTTTTCCATCCTTAATAATCAACTACCAGAAATTCACTTTAAAAAACAAATTATAAAAAAACTCTTAAATCATATATTTTATAATTCCTTGTTCCCATAATATATTTTAGTTACAAAATTTATTTCCCTGATTTTATTTCATTAACTCTAATTAATTACTTTTTTCAAAGAACTTCTAAGTATTGTTAAAATTGAGAAATATATCAAAAGATACACTGCATTAATTGTAAATAGCAAGGGATCAAAAAGTTTATTCATTTAAAAAGTCAAAAACCATTGCAAGAAAAGAAGAAATCAACTACAATCATGCTGGTTAGAAAACATGATTTATACATTTGAAAAAATAAAAATAACATCACTAATGGCATACTACCTAATGAATTACAATAATAAGACTATAACTGTAAGTACTCATAAACACTTGATGATACAACAAGTTGCTATTTAAAATATAGAAAAAATACAAATGGATACTAGAACATTTAATTAATTTAATATTTTCATGTCAAGCCGTACATAATAATAAAACATCTAGGAGTATTGCTGAAAAAATCATCAAATTATACTTTAATAAATCAACAATTGTGTTTCTACATAAAGCAATTAAAAATATGACGCATGGATAGACAATAGAAATATAAGATAGGTTAGGTTAGGTACCTTATTTCAATAATTTAGTATAGAAGCATAACACAAATGTTTTTCAAATAAACTAAATTTTTTCTAGTAAAAATAAATAATGAACCTAACTATAATCACTTACTTTGGTATTACATACTGGAGTAACCTTTTTAGGATCATTGTAGTTTTGTCCAAACCCCAAAGGAGCTTTTTCAAAATCGGTTACATCTGCTACACTAGGACCACCTAAAATAAATAACTTATCAGATTTATTTTACAATATACGAGTATAATAATTTATCAAAAAAAAAGGATAAATAATAAAATCACAATTTACATGACATCATTTATGGCAAAATAAGTACATATATAATAATAATACATCAAAAATAATTATGGTAGTATTGGGAATTTTTCAATTCAATTTAATAAGATAAACATTTAAAAATGAGATACAAAATAATTCAACAAATAGAGATGAATTGAGATTTTTGTGATACCTACAAAACTTATTCATAATTTTTTTTTAGATAACAGGGCACATGGTAGCTATATTTATTGAATCCGTGGATTATAATAAATCTATGCAACAAAAGTTAATTATAATGTTAAAAATGTGGCTGTAATTGTTTTCCAAAAATTATTTTGGTTATAGTTATATTAGTACATTAGTTTTGTTTAACAAACAATTTTGAAATTTAAAACATTTTAGACTTTGGTTTAAAATTTAGATGAAATTACTATCTAGGTTCTCTAGTTGGTTATTACAATATGCTAATTTTAAAAATAAATAAAATTTAAAAATTATTATATCATACAATTAAAAAATATATAAAAAACACAACAAATTGTATTTTCATCTAAAACTTTGAATACATAACATACTCTAATATTAAAATTTCTATTTTGCCAAAGGTTGTAAATTTGAAAGGTTATATTTTATTTTACGACAATGATCAAGTAATATATTATTTCTAAGTTCACTTCGATTAATGATAAGTAGGATAAAATTATATTCAGTATTAGCTATCGTACAACATACATAATTAACAACCTTAACCATCAAAATAATTATACTTGAGAAAAGAGAAAAAAATAATAACCAGTTTATGAGTTGTTAATTGATAGGTACTATTAATTTGTGACATAACCATAAACATGTAAAATATAATAAAATAATAAGATGACATAATGCAACCAAATACAAAGTATAAATTTATAAAGATTATAGAATCAAACTGCATAAATAATATTTAAAGAAAACATTGAGCTATTATTTCAATAATAACTACTATAGTTAAAAATTAGTAATAATTTTCTGAATGACAAAATATCTTATTTGGTCATAAAACTAAATTGAATATCTTAAATGGTGATTATCATAGAGTCAATTGAATCAACAGACCATTTTACAAACATACCGGTAATTATAGTACGGCGTTTGCCATTTTGTGAACTTCCCAAATGTCTTGCCAAAAATGTATTTGAATACAAAAGTCGGCGTAAGGAAAATCTCGGCATACGTCTTTTACGTGTAGGCGCAGCTGCACTTGTACTGGCTTCAGGCAAATCTTGTAACGATTTGGATCTCATCCCGCGACTGTTATTTCTACTGTCTACACAATACAACATAATAAAGAAAAAATTAATGATTTTAAGTAATCATAAATCACTACATATTTCTTTCTTATATTTGGATGATATTATAAGTTATAACATCGCACAGACAGTAATGATACTGAACAAGATGAACAAACGGCAATGGTACGTGGTTGGATTAGTGAAAGTTGGTGTTCACCTTGACCAATAAAAATAATAAAATAAATAAATATACCTACATAGCGAATTTAGATTATATTCATTATTTAACAAAAGTGGCATTGGGAACAATGTCATCAACTATTAATTGATAGAAAAAAATGTGTGAAAATAAAATATCACTTAAATTTACTAGGTTAATGACTTAGTTTAAATTAAAATATATATATCATTATATCAATACAGTTTACTACTCTCTACATCAAGAATACTTTTCTTAGACTATAAACATGGATTTTATCAATTTTACATGGAATATAACAAATGAATGAGCTTGTATTTGCTATTCATTACTTCATGTGTCACGACTTAGAAGTTTAAATTAAAAATGTTATTAAATAAAATATAATACATTTTCAAAGTTATTATATCATAGTCAAAACTACATAACATTAAAATAAACCATGAATTGTTAAAAGTATAATAACTAAAAAATTGTAAAACAATTTTTCCATATTTAACTACAAAATTACAAAAAATGTTGATAAGTAACTGCAGTTAGCAGGTACATATCATAATTCGATAAATTGAAGCGTTTCAACAATATTATCATGAAATTTCTGTTTCCTATATAGTCTGTTCAGTCTTCAATAGGTGCTACATACAAGATTTTACTGATTCAAAGACAGTTTTTCGAAAAGTATACCGGTACAAAATTAAATTAGGTAGTAAATCAAATGAAAAAATCTATGATCCATAATTAAACAATTTTAAATATATACATAAGAAAATAATAAATATTGGATGAAATTGGTGGACCAATAAGTAGTTACCTTCAATTCCTTTTCTAACACTATTAATTATCTGATTCATTACCTACTTAATAAACCAATACATAAAAGCTACATAATTAAATAATTTTGGTTAAAAAAAATTACAGCTGTACAAATTAGAAGTCAATCAGTAGATTAACCCAATTAAGACCTTGAACATTATACAAAGATAAATTTAACCAATATAAAAAATAATTAAATTAATAGAACGAGGAAATATAAAAAAAGAAACATGTAGGTATCATTTTATTTCATGTCAAGACAATGCATATTATACTACATCATACACATATACATTTACCTAATTGTTTTTCTATACACATTGTTGTTTATTTAATTTATTCTAGAAGCCCGACTTTAATAAAAACAAATAAATATAATTTAAAACGCAACAAAACAAATGTGGTACACCTATGAATAAAAATTAAATTTGTTAACAATTTTATGACTACAATACCATTTAACCCTTTGAAGACTAATCAAGCATAGTCATCTAACGATCAAACAAAAGAAACAGAAATATGTAAGATGAGATGACAAACATAAAATTTAATATTTCCTTATGTATTACCTACAAATTATTATTATCTTTTCCGTTTATCACTAAATGACGCTTGTATAAATAATTACATGTTGTTTACATTTATTTATATTTAATCTAATTGTAAATTTATGTAGAACTAAAACACAAACTGCTCTAAATGTTGACCTTCGTCCGGGTTACGGTTATCTTATTCTATTTAATCCTTTTTGTAATCGTTTTGCTATACAAAACACAATATAAAGTCATACCACATTATAATGACACACGCACACACAATATTGTGTATATTGTATATATGCATATTTTTTGTACAGTTATTCAAAGTATTAGAATTGCATTGGTTTTGAGTACATATTACCCATAAGCTTGTCCAGGAGTGCAGTGAATGTTGCTTTAGCTGGACACGACAATTTATTTTGGATTTAATGCCTAGTGGGATGGTGGATATTTATTTGAAAGGTAGAAACAGAACGAATATTTTACAAATATTAAGTTTAAAATTAAATTCAAATATAAATAATATTCAATGTTATTTAAATGGAAATTTATAATACTATTTTATAAATACGAGAAGTCTAAAAATAGAAAAGTTTTATACTAGAAATCCGACGTTCACTAGATGCACTTTTTATTTGCAATACTTCTTAAATGTTATAACCATAGTCCATAATGAAGGAAATAAGTGGACTGATTCCCAGCTGATTCTGTAGGGCCGGTTAAAGCACCCGGAACAAAATCTTGCGCACGCCAATGATATTACCCATTATATTTTATGTATTAACTATTAGTATTACTAAGATATGTTATGAGATTACATGGGTCCCGAAATTTTTATCACGATTTCGATACACCCAATAAATATAATTCGTTACTATAAGTTCGTATTGCATTATTTGAAAGTTTATAATTTGTATAATCGTTTTGCAGGTACCTCTCGTTTTTTTTCAAAAAAACAGCGAGATTTTTTTAAATATTAATAAAACAAGGTTGATTTATTTCATAAATTGTATTCAACTGTTAATTTAACACGTACAATAATTATGTGTGTATTTTTTTGTCTGAGAACACTTTTTATAGTGTAAAAAATACTTAGGTTTTGAACATCAGCATATTTTTAGCTAGGAAAGTGAATGTAGTCAATACCTACTGCGGACGATCAAAAGTGAACAATCCAGTAATTGAAAAAATATAGAAAAATTTGGGAACATTTTCGGTCAATACTTACGTATAAACTATTTCTCTACTTGGTTTGATTTTTACTTTTTTCGACCTATTTGTAGACATTTCACATTTTCGATATTTGTTTTTAGAAATTTTTCTATAAATATTGATTAAAAAATGTTCATTTTTTAATATAAATTTCCTCATAAGTTATTTTTATAGCAATTTAAAGATATTAAAGATACATAATATATGTATGTAGCCATGTACTCGTGTAGAATTTTAGTTCTTTTGCTGTAATTCAAAAATGTTTGTCGAGGGGATTAGGAACTATTGAAGAAGGGGATTGGAAATATAAATTATCTCTTTGTCTAAAACACGAGGAACACAGGAATTTAGACATGTTCTAATTTAAACGTATCAATTGATTTAGTGAAGCGAAAAGAATTCAAAAAAAAATTTGAATTTGTCGTCAAGTCTACTTAAGATTTACTTTCCTACATATTTAATTTTATCCACATATAAATCCAAAAAAAAAATCGTGCTCAAAAAGTGATTTTGTATATTTCAATTTTGGAGAAGTAAACATCAACAAATTAAAAATCCGGGAAAGTCGATCTCAAGTAGACTACACAAATTCATATCCGTTTTTGGAATTCATATAGCTTCACTACATCAATCGGTAGGTTGGGATGAAAAAACGTCTAAATTCCAATATTCTGCTTGTGTTAAATTAAAACAGAAAATCACCGCTTCCAATCTGTATACAATTACACGACAATTTCTAATGCAAAGTTCTCTACAAAAATGAATTCTACCTGCGGTATAACTAAATGATGTCAAAATAAATTACACCAATAGCAATATAAATATATCGAAAAATATACATAGTAAAGTTTTTTCGTGAAGAATCGTTTTTCATATGCAATTATGATATATATTGAATTCAAACAGACACTGTAGTAGTAGTACTCGACACCATTATCCAAAGCGGATAATATTTCCCTCCCCCGCCTATTTTGTATTAATGCAATAAAAATCAGAGAATATCAATGGCCCATCGATTCTACAAATACAGCATCGATTTCGACGATACAAGTATACATATACTAAACAATACAATATTCCAATAATCCAATTGCAACTGATTTTTTTGTTTTTTTTATGTTTTAAAGCAGTATAGCCATTATAAGTGCTTTTTTAAATAGAAATCAATCAAAATACCTAACCTAATCTACTTTTCAATGAAATGCATAATGGCCTTAAAATACGTCAACTAATTCGCTCCCGCAATTTCTGTATGATTCCCGGAAATTGCCCATCCCAAGTCTTGAATGAGAAGTAAAATTAGGCAATCTAATCAATCAATCAAACCTGTCAACGGTTGAATGTTTGTGAATTATTATGACTTTAAAAATTGTAATTTATTTTTAAATTTATCAGAATAAGAAAATATTATCTGTATTTTGTAAGAAATGTATACATTAAGTGATAACATAATACATAACACATTCCATTAAATTTTTTTTTTAAATGTGTAGAAACAGGTAAATATTTTACACTATTTTTATCAACAAAAATGTGCATATTTTTGTAAAATAAGAAATCTTTTGACAATTACATAGATAAAGCTCACATTCCTTTACAAAAGTTATTTTTCTTCGAATCATATTTAAAAACTAGTTTTTTATATAAGTGTTTTATACTGCAGGGCGATTTATCAAGCATGCAAACCTTTTCCCCATTTTATACTTTCGTAATGCAGGTACTAGATCAGGGTGGTCCAGCCTTCTATAGTTGGATGGCTAATTTCCACTTTTATAAAAAATTAAAAACATAAGGAGCAGCCAAAATAAAAATAAATGATAATATATATATATTTTTTTTATTAGCTTTAAGTATTACTATTACAGCTCAACAATTATATAAAACAATATAACTAGATATTATTATTTATATTTAATTTTATCTAGAGAAATAGAGAATGTTCGCGATTGTGAATAGTATTCACGCCGTTCAGGAAAACCCACAGTCATTATTATTAGGTGGCGATAAGACCGACTTTCTCGATTTTAAAGCGAATTTTTTAATATAAATTTTCTAGGAAGGACCAAAAAAAGGCTTCGAGATCTGTGAGTTGGAAAACCCTGTACTAAATGATACTCTCAAAAATACCCAACATTTTAAAATTATTTTAAGAAATTCATGTCTCTAAAATCATTTATTATTGGATTACATTAACAAAAATAAACGATTTTGTCAAAATCTGTTTTGAGTAAAAATTCCCACGATTATTTTAAAGATAATATTTTACTTGACC